GAATGCTGAATATAAAGCATGCATACACTAAGTAAATTGAAGATGTTCATACACATGTATGTGTATATATATCTATATGGTACTACTTGCTGACAATGTTTCTAACAATAACTGTATTGACATGTTAAACAAACAAAATGAAGTAAGCATAGGCACTTGTAGTTTCTAGGTATGCTTCTGAAGAAACACAGGTCAAAAGTAGTGTTCATCAACTAGGAATGATTCTCAGCCTCTCTTAGCAAGGTCCTACCTGGTTTTCATAAAAAAAAAAAGAAATGGACATTCAGACATTAATACTGAAGTAACAGTGTTGGGCTCTGATCCAAGTTCCATTTAAGTTAATAGGAGAGTTTCCATTAAGTTCAGTAATCTAAGGATCAGGCCTTTAGAGTACTACCTTGTCAAAACATGTCCTTGGTTTACTTTCAGTTACGTGGATGTTGTTTATGTTCCAACAGAAGTGGGGTTAGAAGAGCCAATGGTAGCCAGAAGGCAGCCACAAGTTAGAAAGACAATCAAAACTCATGTGTAGGTTTCAAAAGCTGTTTGGTTACCCAGATATACAGGTGAGGATTTAAAGTGCAACTTTTCAAAGTCAAAGTAAAATTATATCCCAAAGGAAGCTGTGGAGATGTCAGAATGCCATCACTAGGCTGTTGCGGTTTTCTCTGACACCTCTAAATTGAGCAGGATGTCCATACCAGAAATCATTTCTCAACTGTAGGAGTGGGTTGGATTTTTTGGGGCATGAGAAGTCCCAGTGTCACTGTCCTCAAAGAAACTGACGCTCTCCCTGTGCCTGAATTCAGTCTGTGATAAGAAGGACCATTGGTCCCAGATCAGTTCTCCTTAGAAAAAAAATCACTACAGGATGAGCAATGCTTAACCCCTTAACCTAATTTAATCCTTTAATTTGGCAATTATACATAAGGAGTTTTGACACACATTAAGGGGGTAGAAAGGTGGATGGGAAAGTTCACTTTTCTCTTGAATTGGAAGGAAGAGAATGAGTTTGGTGAAAATGGATGGAAGAACTTGATTCAGCACTTCTCAAATTTTTTGTAAGATGATCAACTCTCAAAACTTTCTCTGAAGAACATCACTCATCTGTATCTTCACACATTTCCTTGAAAGTATGATACAAGTAGAACCATTTTGTGGGCTGAGGGTCATGCACCAGTACTTTTAGCTAATATAATTATATTCATTATCATCAGAGTTAGAGTAGTGCTTATTTTCTTTCCTTCCTTTCCCTATGTCTCTTCTACTTTCATTCTCTTTCTGTTTGGGTTTCGAAATGATCTTTCCTCTTTTTCTTTGTGTTCCAGTAAAACAATAGATTCTTATGAAAAAAAAAAAAAGTAGTTTTGTGTTGTGCCTAAAGGGCAGTCATACTTTTTTTGTAGCATTCCACTGCCTTGGCCTACGTACATTGTCTTCAACTTCTGATTTTTTTTTTTTTTAATTTAGGCAACAGTATTAGATGATGATGTTAGATGGAGAGGCAGGTCAATAGGAAACCCTACTCCTAGTCTATGAAGAACTGGAAAGGTTTAGACTAACACTTTGACCAGAACAAGTAGAATCTACTCAAAGAGCATAAAGGACTGTCAAGAAAAGCTAGTTTGTGGTCCTAGTGTGTATCCGCTGATGTATGTGTACAATACTATTTCCTACCGTTAACTAAATATAATATTCTGTCACCCTCTAGTGGTGGGTCTACACCAGCGAACTGCTGATAGTAGTGATAAAACATTTTCTCACTCCACATCTGGTGGAAGACCTTGTCGCATGTAGGAGATACTGAGCTTCAATGTTTGGTGGTCTGTGTGTACAGATTTTTAATTTTGGTCTCCACTGCGTAAAGCTATAAATGAATTGTATCCTATAACTTCATGCCAAAAATTAGAGATGTAAATTGTCTGTGTTGGTTTGGGGCAGATTAATTAACTAAAGAGTTGGGGTTTTTTTAATTATTTCTGTTCTCTTCTCCTTGGATAAGGCAAGAGAAAATTGACTGAATTCCAACCTACAAAGTTAGGGAACATGACTGCGCACCTGAAGCCCATATTGGCTAATCAAATCCCTTCTTTCTTTATTCTGAGTTGTACCGTAATAGAAGTCTTATCTAAGACTGTCTGATGCCGTACTGTGCAGGTGCAATGCCCATTCAAAGCTGTGAAAGCAGTAATTGTGCCCAAAATAATAGTGTGACCTATGCATCATATATACCTCTTGGTATATTTCACAGCAAAGTGACATAACAAAGCCAAAATATTTTACATCACCTATTCTGTTAGCTTCAGCAATGCTTACAAAAATCTGTTTCTGACCCAGCCTTAGAAAAAGCTGAAAGTGCAGTATGCTGGAGAATAGCATTTAATGGGTTCATTTATCAAGATTCCCAGTAACTGATAATATTGATGTGTTTTACACTGATATTGGACAATTTGGCTTCCGATCACATATGATTTAAAGCGTCCTAAGTAACAGCAAAATACTCGGTCTGAAACTGAAGTGATGTGCTTTTCACTGGACCATGAGGTAGTGAAACTTATAGAAAGCTGATTGATAGCTTGAGACAACTGGTATGGTCCCTTCTGATCACTTTACAGACACTCTTCGCAGAGGTAAAGCAAGTGTTTTTCATCTCTGGCTTGAGACTGTACAATTCCTCTTAACATAATTCGGTATTTGAAGTATTAAATGATACTAACTATCTGATATGCCTGTAATTTTATCAGTACAGGCCATGCATTCAGCACTTACGAGTGAACTCAGAATTATCCAATAATTAAATTGGATCACTGTATCTTTGTTAAAGAGGTCTATGGCACCATCTTTGTAGACACAAGTGAAACAGAAGTTATGTATCAGTATGTCACAAATAGTGTCACAAAGGCCTTTTGATACCTTCTCACCAGGAGGGATTGTTTAACTGATCTACCTTTAGAGACTTCTGGAGCAATTATCCCTGCTTGGACCAGATACAGCCTACCAGCTACATCACAGAAAGGCAAACTGTTTCCATGAGGGGACAATGCTCTCAGTAAAACTTTGAGTTTGTCAGGAAAGAATACAGCATACACATCCTGTAATGTGTAAAAAGCCTGGGACACTCAAGAGGAGGGTCCTGCCCATGCTGCTAATTAGCAAACCTTCTTATGAACCTCTGAAATTTTGGCAAACTTGCCAGTCTTTTCTTCCACGCTCATGAGAGTGTCATAAAAATATAACTGGGAAGAGAGGAGGAAAATATTTCTCATGTTGTCCTGAACATTTAGTTCAGTGTTTTAAAAATAATACTGAAAAACTGGCAGATTTTGCATCTACTTTCAGGTTTTATCATTTACTAGCTGTGAGTTTTTATGTCTGTATCTGAATCCTGCAAATATGCATATAATACATGTGGCACACGTGTACACCCACATGCAAGCAGAGCCAGGCAGATCCGCAGAGGCAGAGATTTGCATTCGTTTTATCATATCCATTTAATTGTCCTTAGTTTACTGAACAAAACAAGGGATTTTTTGCTAATGGAACTGCAGTTATACTTAGGGAAAATGAAGTTATCTTTCTCATCTTTTATGATCACATATAATGAAGCAATTTTGGTAACATGCATGTCAGCGGATTGTCGGTGACGGTACATCCTTCAGAAAGAATACAAATAGACTTCACTGACCCTGGAGTGCTGAGAGTAACGTGAAACTTACTCTGACTTGTAAACTGAGCAAACATGACATGGAGGTCACAGAATAAGGGCATATATGCATCTTTCAGCCCTTGTTTTGACAAAGTGACTTCTTTGTCCAAAGGGACATTTCTGCCATTTTTTTCCAGCATGTTTCACCTTTCACTGGCTATTAATCCCAGTATGACTTAGCTGCAAATTATGATTCCCACCTATAAGCTCATGGGAGTTATTTCTTAAATTTTTTTCATCATTTATTTGAGCACACAAAGGTAGCACTCAGAAGATCTAAGAAAATAGAGTATGGGAAACACCAAATTGAGTTTTAATAAAATCTAACAAGTTATAAATATTAGAACAAAGAGTATTATGAAAATTCACATTTGCTAATGTGTTTTTTTTATTGCTAGCAGCTTTAAGAAATCAGGGTAGAGATAGACCGTAATTTTTTTTTTTAAATCTGTGCATTTCTTGATGTTCTGTGCAGTATTCTTCCAGCTTTAGTAAGATTGCTTCCCCGTGTCTGATGCAGTCAAACATTTATATAGACATCAGCATTTAAACAGAATTTTCAGAACTTTGTGAACTGGATTAACAAAGGAAGTTTTACTAAAAGTGAAATTATTCCAAATATTCTTATTTTTCTGAATGCATAGCTCATGAAACATGTCTGATACACGTGTGGAAAGAATCTCCACACACAATACTTTGAAATAAAGGTATCAGCACAGCACCTAGCATATTTATTCATGCAATAGAACAACCATTGATGGGGTTTAGCCTCTTCATCACGTTAGCTAACTGATAAAGCACTATTAGCAGTTATCAGTGTGAATGGTAAAGGACACTGAAATTCTTATCCCTGGTTTGCAGATGGGAAAATGAGATCACTGCAGACTTTTTCTGGAACCCACCCTCCTGAATCTGTTTTCAACTAGGCCATCAAATTTGATAGCAATAGTAGTGGCTGCTTATTTGAACAAATGTGACAGGCTTGGTTGTCTTTGTTGTGTAGGTTATTAGGTCAGTGACAGCAGTTCCAAGTTTGGAAAAAGCAAAATGTCAGGCTTGACCAGGAAGCAGAGAGGCTAAATTCTTTTTTTACAATACTGAAGAGAAATGTGTAAAGTAAAAGGGATTAATTATTTTTCTAATGTAACCACCAAACTCCACGTCAAGAACAAATTGATGGTCCAGATATGTGTTTTACTCATAATGAGACTCTTCAAGAGACTTCAGGGGGGAGAACAGCAGCTTCTGTTTTTGTAGTTTCTAAGTATTGTCTGGTTTTTGTTTTTCTCAACAGAGCTACAGCGAACCAGTTGATGTTAAAGCCTCCCCGCAACCTCAGATGATGAATTCAAAGCAGTCTGTGTTTCATGGGCCTGCCCAGGCTCACTCTGCACTGTACCTCAGTTCCCACTACCACCAACAACCAGGAATGAATCCTCACATCACTGCCATGCATGCCAATATCCCCCGGAACATAGCGCCCAAGCCCAACAACCAAATGCCAGTGACTGTTTCCATAGCAAACATGGCTGTGTCCCCACCGCCGCCTCTTCAGATCAGCCCCCCTCTGCACCAGCATCTCAACATCCAGCAACACCAGCCAATTTCAATGCAGCAGTCCATTGGAAACCAGCTACCAATGCAGGTCCAGTCTGCTTTACATTCACCTACAATGCAGCAAGTAAGTTTGAGCGTTTCAGTTGTCTGGGAAATGTGGGGTTTTTTAGGAAAAAAAATCATCCAGAAGTTGACGTAGTGAGAGAGATTCAGAGCCATGGTAATGTAGTCTGAGGACTTAGTCTTTCAAAGGCAAGAACAAATGAATGAGTTTACCTAGATGATGGAGATCTTCAGTGGAACTGTTTGTGCTAGCATTTGGAGGAGGCATCCTTTAAATAGAAGTGTCCATAGATCCATCTACAAATCTGGGAGTACCCTGGAATATAAGTGAAATGTTACATCTTGGGGAGACATATTTTACAAACAAAAGGCAGGCATGTCAAGAAAAAAATGTGAGTGTAGCATGGGCTGTTATCCTTTTGCTCACTGTGACACAGAGAAGTCAGAGGCAACATGAAGCAACACGGGTTGTGTTAAACATGTTTTGCTTGATAGGCATATCTTTTTTTTCTTTTTTACTGGAAATAAGTGGGCTGTCCCCAATATCCCATTATGGTGCCTTTTTTTTTTTTTTTTCCATTCTCAATGTTTTAGATAATTGATTCTCAATACATTTCCTATGAAATCTGAATGAATGCAGGCCAATCATAATATTGTAACTTTTGGGCCCAGACCTGTGGAGGGTTAGAGCAGATTAACTCTGCTGATTTCATGAGAGAAAATTTCCCTTTGTATTGGATGAGATCTGACTATCAATAATAAGATCTTGCTTTGCAAAAAAGCTTTAGAATGAAAACTTTTTGGGTGGAGCTGCAAGAATCTACAAAATTTGTATACACAAAACTTGTCAGTTCTGGTTGATAATACATAGTCATGAACTTGCTGCTGAGTTATTTCTAGGTTGAGAGAAAACACAAGGCATTAGGTTGTAGAAAACAGGTGTCTAGAAGTCCGTATGTAGACCTGTACCATGATGAGTCTGTGCTTTACTGAGTACAGTAAAGTAAAACATACTCTACCTCTGTGTTCCTGCTCTCCGTTGTTAAACTTATCAAAGGTTAGCTTAAATATTTTTACAAACTCATATTCCTTAGTCAGAAAGGCTGATGCTTATAATAAAGATACCATGGTGAGATATTTCTGAGCTTCACGCAACGTGACAGATGCTTATGACCTGTTGAAATGCTACACTGCCAATCTTAACTACATTCATCTTTAAGCACTGTGGAACATCTACAAGTCAGTTTATGTTTCTTACACTTCTGCTTTTGTTTCAAAGAAATACAACTTTTAAGCTCTGGAAAGTCTATGTAATAAAAATATTTTGGAATATTTGTAATATTTTTACTTATTTATTTTTAACATACAACAGTTTACACAGTTTGCGAATTGAGTTTAAATATAGAATCCATTTCCTTCAAAGAGTGATATTGATAAAGACAAAGGAAAAGTGTGTTCCATTTTAGAGCAATAAGTGTACTAACACCACTGTGATTTGCCATGCCAGAGCAGAACAGTGGTATCCTGTCTAGTGTCTCAGGTATGACTCTTTCTGGACCTACTCAAGAGATGTTAGAAATCAATATCTCTGGGATTTCATACTATATTAGAGCACAGAGGACAAACTGGGCACCAGGAGGCACATAGCAAGAATTCAAGAAGCTATGACTTGAAAGTAAAGGCCTCCTTCACCACTCCATCTCATAAAAAGACAGCCAAGAAGAATAGGAGAATATGTAGTCTGATAAAGCAGAAGTGATAACTGCATTTAATTCAACTTTTTTTCAGTTCCTCTTCCCTCAGCTGTTTGATTTCCTCCATGCTAAAGGTGTGGCCACCTTAAGCCTTTTCTAAAGATTCCGGTGGGCATCCAATTTATCTAAGGAGCAAGAACACAAACTAATAAACATCCTGCTCCCTACAGCATGACTTGCCACAGGAGACATTTTTCTTTTCAGAAACATTGCCACCACTCATACTAAACAAACTAATTAAGAAGAAACAAGGTAAATTTTCTCATGTCACACTGCAATGTGAAGCTTAACAGGCAAGTCTGTCAACAGCTTCCTAGCAGCCTTCTACCACAGGCGTTTTCAGGCTGCCCTGGGTGGGCACCACCCTTGCAGACAGGCAGCTGAGCTGTGGATATATTAGAAGCAGCAGTCACAGATCCCACTGGTAGTGGGTTCTTATTTTTTTTATCTTTTTTTTTCCCAGTGCCCAGCTTTGAATTAGTTCATGGCTTATTAGTGTGACACTCAACAGTAGCAGACTTGGGGAATCCCTGCTCTCGACAGATCCCTTGCTTTAACGCTCTGGCGCTGGGAGGTTTGGTCACTCATTTTCTCCAGGAAAGGGAGGATGGTTTCTTATCAAAGCCTGGCTTGTAGTATATCTGAAGGACTGCCAGCTCCAAGAAAGATCACATAAAAATCCAGAGCTCAGCCCTGGCAGGGAGGGACACAGTTCTCCAAAACCACTGTGCGCGAAATCCGCAAACTCTTCTTGTGTGCATAACTTTGAGGAGGGACAGATAAGAAGTGCTGACCTGGGGAGAGAGTTCTGCCCCCGTTGCTGCCAGGACAATGAGCTGATCTTCATCAGCTCCATAGGGAACAGCACGTCCTCCTCCATGTCCAGCAGCCCTTGCCTGCACACGTGCAGCTGCCAAACCAAGAGACTGCCAGCTGGAGAAAGGCAGTCTCCTCCAGGAGTCCGCAAAAACTACAGAACATCCAGATGATCAGAAGTGTTAGTAGCCAAAAATCCTCAGTGACTGCACAATTTCTGTTGTTTTTAAAATCAATTAATTCTGTGGAGTGCGCAGCTGATGCAATGCATCAAAATTGTTCTGAAATGCACAAGGCAAAGTAAATTTGGGTATTAGCATTTTGGTCATATGCCTAGTATTAGTAAATATTTTTTAAGTTCTTTGAAACAATCTTGTCTAGTTTTAGTTATCTAAAAGTCTTTTAACCTCTGCAAAGTAGACTATTTTGTCTCTATTCCTTTCTGTTACGAAACAGTTAATGAATAAATTAAATAGGCACTACTGTAGACCTTTGAGGTGCTCGTTTACAGTGTCAATCCTTTACACTGTAAAAAATGATAATTTAGTTCTATTCTCAAATTTAAATTAGATCCTAAATTTCATTATATTTGACTTCTAATTCTGAAATATACTGTATTTTTCTTAAATATTATTAATACAAGCTATGTTAGAATTTTACTTTGTTACACTAGTGCAGCAGTTTTTATTTCATCTGCTTTTGACACACTGAAAGAATGACAGTAGATTAGAAGAGTGCAATTTTCCTTTCATTTAATTCTCATGTGAGCACCTTATCACTGTAATATTTTTTAACTGATATAGAGTTGCATCTCTCCAGTCTGTTTCTTAGGTTTAACATGATGTTTAATTTTTACTTGCAGTCAGGTGATCTGAATCTTAACCCTTGTCATTCAAATCAGCATGATTTCTCCAAAGTTCAGGCTAAAATAGCATCTGAAGCTGCGACCTGTTTTCTCTTGCAAAGTCATTTTTTCCTTTCTCTACTCAGACAGACATTTGGGCTTCTTTCTTAGCGTATCCCACTCTCCAGCCTGTTGTACTGTGCTGTTTGGTGTGGAGAGTGATGAGACCAAGGATTCGCTCCCTTCCAAATACGGGCTCCCAGTTCTTGTTAAAGAACCCTTTTAAGTAGCCCTATGGAAGAATCTCCTTCCTGGCTCAAAATCCTTCATCCAAGCACTGGGTGGGATGGTGAGTCCCATGACAATCTCTGTCCCACTTCGGTTCACAGGTAGAGCAAGCAAAACTAGATTCTTAATGTCTAGTAACCATGGCTGCAAGTGTATGCATAACAAAGAAGCAGAAGATTAATGTATGTCACATTTTATTTTTTGAAATAATAACTCATTTCAGTCTACTTTGAGGTATTTCTTTTCCTTTGGAAAATAAATGTATACAGCAAGATGATTGCATAGCCTGCCAAAAATAATAGCCTCATTTTTTCTGGTATATATTATATAGAGTAAACTCAGGGCTCTGCTGTATTTGTCCAGATTTCTTCCTCTTTTTTGTTAAGCTTTGTCTTCGAATGAGGTCAAGAGAAAAAAAAATCATTAATATCTGTCAACTTCCTTTATAACCTTAAGGAAAAATCTTTGTATGATATCACACAGACAGATTTTCAATTTCCTCATGTAATAAACAGATGCTTTAGGATTTGGATGTAATTTAAAGGTTTAAAATATCACATTGAGATTGATGAATAAATCAGTTGTGAAGACAAAAACATTGATGCCTGTTGAAAATACCTCTCCAGACAGGCAGGAAATGAAATTAGTTCCCAGTAAAGTGTGGAGATGAGGATCACTGTTTAGTTCTGCTGCAGGCTTTTTAGGACTTGCTACAGTGGCACAACGAAACTGCTAGGGCTACAGAAATCTAATTAAAGAGCAAATGTCCCTCCTGACATCGAATTAATCTTTATCAAGTTCCCTATTTTTATTTCAATCTGGAACAAGAAAATGAAATTTAAAATTCTAGGCATGTTGCAAAACAGTTGGTGATTTTCTCTTGAGCATTACAATGCAAAAACATTCAGCATTGTTTAATTAGACCTCGAAGCACTCATTTTCTGAGCACTTTTTATTTCATCATTGTTTGTTAAGGACTTACATCAATAATACACAAATATTTACTACAAGCCTGGTACAAGGCTGTGTCCTTCTGTTGTACCGATCTCCATTTCCAGGGTTTTTTCTGGTGATGAAAAAGCTGAAGTAATTATTGTTTACATTTTAAACATCACTGTACTTTATCAGTCCTTCATACTGAGTTCAGGTTTCTTAAATTATTTTGCCTTAACAAGCATGCTTTCCAACACCCATGTTATTACTTTTGCTGCTGGTGCTCCAGAAGCTCTCAGCCAGGGTGGGTGATGGCTGGTGCTTGGTGCTGGCCAGTGCAGGGTGCTGCCTCTGGACAGAGATGCAGGGCTGTCCCCTGCCCGCTGATGTGCCTGCACAGCCCATGGGTCAGTCTGCTTCTGGAGCTGGAGCCTGGCTCAGATACTTCTGCACCACATTAAAATTTATCATGTGAACGCATCCTAAGAAACAGTCCCCAATCCCAGGTGGTTGTAAACTAAACAGACTTTTCCAGCTGCAAGATGAAGGCGTTGTTACCCTTTATTTTGCAGATAGGAGAATTAAGTTTGGATCCGTGGTGCCAACCTTGACATGAAAGGTATCGATTCAGTCCAAGCGCGCGTGCATGCACGCTTCGCTGAAGAGAGCCAAGCGAGTTGTCTGTGGTCACACAGAAAACCTGAGAAAAGACAAGAATAAGTGTTGTGGTTCAACCCAGCAGGCAGCTAAACACCACAGAGCCATTCGCTCACTCTCTCCCTCCCCAGTAGGATGGGGGAGAGAATCAGAAAAAAAGTAAAATTCATGGGTTGAGGTAAAAACAGTTAAATAGAATAGAAAAGGAAGGGAAAGGAGTAATAATAATAATAATAATAAAGAATATACAAGTGATGCACGGTGCAATTGCTTACCACCTGATGCCCAGCCCGTTCCTGAGCAGTGGCCTCACACCCCCTGACCAACTCAGCCCAGTTTATGTACTGAGCATGATGTCATATGGTATGGAATATCCCTTTGGCCAGCTTGGGTCAGCTGTCCTGGCTATGGTCCCTCCCAGCTTCTTGTGCACCTCATCGCTGGCAGAGCATGGGAAGCTGAAAAGTTCTTGACGTACTATAAGCACTACTTAGCAACAACTAAAACATCAGCGTGTGATCAACATTATTCTCATACTACATTGAAAAA